ATGTTATTACTATGTTTTCAAAAGTATCTAACACTTGGAAATCAGGCAAAAGGATGACTGTGTTCCCTTTCAATGGCATATTCAAGCATCCCTAACCCCTTTCTACTCAAATTGTGGTCCATGGACCAGCAGCACAAGCATTACCTGGAAGCTTATTTTAAATGTAGAATTTCAGGCCCCTACCCCGGACTCACTGATTCAGGATGTGCATTTTAACAAGGTTCCTCATATGACTCTGACACACAGGAAAATTTGAAAGGCACTGGTCTACCAGGCCTACTCAAAGATTATGTAACTCTCTTGAGCCCAGATTCTGTGAGGTTACAAGTTAATTTGTTAACTAGTAGAAGACTGATTCAGTTATATATCACTTTTGCCAATTAAGATGCAAATGATTTCTGTCTGGTAGAGAACCCAAAAGTTATGGTTTGCTGTCCTGTAAAATAGTAACCAGTTTTGTGTCTGACTTAATATTCTGATTCCAGCATTCTTTTCTTCTGTGATTGTATGTGCTTTCAGATCCTTCTTTGAACTAGTTTTACAACCATGATTCCCTCAATAATGAATTAAGAAATCTTTGACATGTTTTCACTAAATGTTTGTAGAGGAGCCATGTTTTTAACTTTTTGAAAATTATACTTTGACAGCCAGCTTTATAGCCATCATTTTTAATAGCTCTGTAATGTGCCATTTTAGGTGACCGTATTTACTTATTACCTTATTGTTTGACATATTTCTGACTCTGTATCAGTCTAAATAATTTTACAGTGAACATCTTTGAGCATACAACTTTCTGTATTTTATATTTCTTGCCTTTAAGTAAATCTTCAAGTCTGGAATTAATGAATCAAAGGGCATAAATATTGTCAAGATAAGAAGTATTAGAGTTTGTCAAAGTGGTAAGAATGGAAGGGCATTTCAGGTGGCAAAAGCAGCTTGCAGAAAGGCAGGTGACCACAGGTCTCACAGGCAAGAGGACTCTGCCTGGCTAGAGTGTGAATACATGTTAGGGGAGGGGCTGGAAAAGGGAGGAAGGAAACCATATTGTAAAGAGCCTGGAATCCTGAATTACTCAGTGTAAACAGAAGCCATTGATAGTGTAAGCTGAAAAGTGGCATGATAAGAACTATGTTGTAGAAGGACAACTCTAATGATAGGGGTGACACTGAGGCTGTCAGAATAACGCTGTGAGAGAGGACTAGGCCTGAAGGACAGCAGTGGGACTACAGTGGAAACAAGAGGATGGAGAGGAAAGATATTTAGAGAGGAACAGGGCTTGAGCAGGATCACCAGCTCATTAGTGGTGGAAAACAGGCCTAATGGTCAGAGTTTCTCGACTCTCCAAGCAGACCATGCTGCTGTTGGGTTTCCTCTGAGATGTGACTCCTCAGAACTGCACGATGCTCAGATTATCACCCATGGATGAGTTTATCATAGTCGTTATGTGAGGAAACCAGCTCTGCCAAAGCATAAAGCACACGTCCAAGAAGATGAATGGCATCACTAAAAATAATCAAAGATTAAGCACACATTCCAGGGAAGTGACAGGGTATTCTTGTGGAATTTGCCAGACTAAACTGTAGCAGATACTCAACTGTCTCTGTATCCATAAAACCAGACCTCCAACGTGGCTTTGCCGGGATGCAGACTTCAGACACCTTGAGGCAGGCAGTGTCCCTAAGAAACCATCTGGGTTACTCCAAGGGGCTAGCCTTTACAACTGGCTCCCGTTGAGCTCATAGCCTGTCTCAGTGAACATTGTGAACAAGAAGGCTTAACAGACTTATTATATGACCAGGCACTTTCCTGTAACTATCTTCTTTTCCCTTTCAGACTACCATTTCACAGAGGAAGAAACTGGGACTAGTGTCTGAGTTGCCTAAAGTTGCACTGATTAAACCAGGCATGAGTGATGCAAACTGTTAATGAAATCTTTCATCTTGGGCATAGTGTCTCAGAGCTCATCTGTACAAAACACCATGAGAAATTCTGAATATGGAAGGTGATTTGATCCACAGATCAGGAATCTAAAGACATAGATTTGTCCATCTTTAAAGACAGGAAACTCTAATCTGAACCTGATAGAAAATAGTAGGCTTAAGATGACAGACTTTAGAAGTCATGATAATGGTTACCCTTTGTGAGAGCTGTGCCTGGAAGAGAGTATGAAAGAGGGGCTTCTGAGAGCTGGTCACATTCCATATTTCTTGATCTGGGTGCTAGTTACATAGATGCATTCTGTATATAGAAACTCAACTATGTTGTTGTTGTTAGGTGCTGTCAAGTCAGCTCCAACTCGTAGCGACCCTGTGTACAACAGAACGAAACATTGCCCAGTCCTGTGCCATCCTCACAATCATTGCTATGTTTGAGCTCAGTGTTTAAGCCACTGTGTCAGTCCATCTCGTTGAGGGTCTTCCTCTTTTTCATTGGCCCTCTGCTTCATCGGGTGTGATGTCCTTCTTCTCCAGGGCCTGGTCCTTCCTGATAACATGACCAAAATTCATGAGACGAAGTCTTGCCATCCTTGCTTCTAAAGAGCAGTTCCAGCTGTACTTCTTCTAAGACAGATTAGTTTGTTCTTTTGGCAGCCAGTGGTATATTCAATATTCTTCACCAATACCATAATTTAAAGGTATCAGTTCTTCTCTATGAGGATTGAGGCAGGTTTAGGTAAACCTTCCACAAGGAAAGGATGAGCATTCCAAGGAGATGGCACAGTTTGGACAAAGACCTGTGGTTGGACTGTTGCTGTTGTTAGGTACCGTGGAGTCGGCTCTGACTCATAGGGACCCTATGTATAACAGCAAGGAACACTGCCCAATCCTGTGCCAGCTTCACAAGTTTTGCTATACCCGAGCCCATCATTGCAGCTACTGTGTCAGTCTATCTCGTTGAGGGCCTTCCCCTTTTTTGTTGACCCTCCACTTTACCAAGCATGATACCCTTCTCCAAGGGATGGATGGTCCCTTCTGACAAGATGACCAAAGTGAGACGAAGTCTGGCCATTCTCACTTCCAAGGACCATTCCAACTGTACTTCTTCCAGGACATATTTGTTCATTCTTTTGGCAGTCCATGGTACTTTCTTCACCAACACCACAACTCAAAAGCATCAACTCTTCTTCAGTCTTCTTTCTTCATTGTCCAGCTCTCACATGCATATGAGGTTATTGAAAATACCGTGGCTTGGGTCATGCATGCCTTAGTCTTCAAAGAGACATCTTTGCTCTTCAGCACTTGAAAGAGGTCTTTTGCAGCAGATTTGCCCAGTGCAATGCCTTGTCTGATGTCTTGACTACTGCTTCCATTGGTGGTGATTGTGGAACCAAGTAATATGAAATCTTTAACAACTTCAATCGTTTCTCCATTTATCATGATGCTGCTTATTGGTCCAGTTGTGAGGATTTTCATTTTCTTTATGTTACTTGCTTCATTAAGATATGGACTCTCATTGTATATGGCTCCCATTGGAACCATACTGTAGACTGTAGTCTTCAACATTTATCAGTAAGTGCTTCATGTCATCCTCACTTTAAGCAAGCAAAGTTGTGTCATCTGCATATCATAGGTTGTTAATGAGCCTTCCTGAAGTTGGTAGGACTAGCCTGTGTAAAGTCAAAGGAGATCATGACTGCCTAGAGCTTGGATTTTTTTCTCTTTATCAGTGAGGGGTTTGATCAGGACAGTGGTATGTTAGGGGTGGTTATTTGGCAGCAGAGGATGCAATGGATGCTTTGAATTCTACAAAACCAAATTCTCCCATGGCCTTTGGAGCTAAAGCAGAACCAACAGATATAGTTGGAGGTTAGCTAATAAATGTCTAACAATCGATCTTCTGGCAGGAAGGTGAGGGATGCCTGATTTGCTTGCCAGTTTCTATGGTATAAATATTCTCACCATGGTCCATTTCAACTACTCTTACAATGCCACTGGATGCGGAGCTGGAGAGAGATGCACACAATTGGCTGTTGTGGGCTGATGTGAGCCAGCTCTAGCACACCTCTGGATTTCATTAAAAGTTGGAAAAACTTGCTTCATTAAGATATGGACTCTCATTGTATATGGCTCCCATTGGAATCACAGCACAGCTTCTCCTGTGCCTTTGATCTGTGCAGCACAGTCCTAAGACACAGCTCACAGTCTAGTGGGGAAACTGGCATTAATCAAATAATCACACAAAGTTACACATTGAGCTGAGCACTCTGAAGGAAGGACTCTTAAATGGAAGTCACACCATGTTCTTTGATTCAAAAACACAGTGAAAGGTAGACTGTTGTTACCTGCTCTGATAACACATCCTCTAAGTTTCTCACTATACTTATGTTCACTTTACAATATTTGAGTCAAACTTATTTCAAAAATTGGGGCTTGGATTTTGTCTTAGTTCTCTAGTGCTGCTATAGCAGAAATACCACAAGTGGGTGGCTTTAATGAACAGCAGTCTATTTTCTTACAGTTGAAGAAGTTAGAAATCTGAAATCAGAGCACCAGCTGGAGGGGAAGGTTTTCTGTCTCTGGTGGCTCTGGGGGAAGGTCCTTGTGTCTTCAGTTTCTGTTCCTTGGCTCCTTGGTGATCTTCATGTGGCATGGCATCTGTCTTTCCCCATCTCTGCTTGCTCATTTCCTTATTTAATCTCTTTTATATCCCAAAAGACATTGACTTAAGACATTCTACACTAATACTGTCTCATTAATATAGCAAAACCCATTCCCAAAGGGGATTATAATTACAGGTATAAAGGTTAGGATTTACAATACAAATTTTTGGAAGACACAGTTCATTTCATAACAGATTTCAAGTGCTGTATTTAGATACTGGAGAAAATTGAAAATTCCAATAGAATAAACCAAGAAAGCACTCAACAGAGTCCATTTTTTTAGTTAACAACAGTCTGGATGCTTATCTTTGGTTTTCTCCAAATGTCAAGCCCAGCTGGACTGCATCATGCTATGGGAACTTCTTTTGGTAAACATTTTCACTCTTGCATTGCCTCCTAGGTGGTCTTCGAGGCCTTGCACAACCTGGAGCCCCGTGGCTATGTCGTGGGCTGGATCATTGCCATCAGTTTGCTGGTGGGAATCCTCATCTTCCTGCTGCTGGCTGTGCTGCTCTGGAAGGTAAGTCTGGCAATATCAAGTCACCATGGAGTCCCCATCTGTCTCCCCAGCTCTCCTGCTTCTCCAGGGTTTGAGCACCTTGGAAGAGGTTTTCTGTTGAGAGCTTCCTTTGTGGTGCAGATACAGGGGAGGGCAGTGCCCCTTTCAAGCCTAGAGAGGAATCTTGACTCCTCATAAAGCCATTTGCAGATGAGGATTACACTAGTTAAAAGGAGAACAAAGCCTCACCCCTCTTATCTTGCCATCTCTAACAGAGTTACCACCAGTCCTAATATAAGATGTTGTTGTTGTTGTTATGTGCTGTCGAATCGGACCCAACTCATAGCGACCCTTCCTTGGGTTTCCGAGGCAGTATCACTATGGAAGTAGATTGCCCAACCTTCCTTCCGAGTAATATAAGATACTGAGAACCTAATTCCAAAGCTGAAGCTTGAGGAGTAATAGCTGGGAGGAGAGTGGTTTACCATTTACTTAAAGAAAGAACAAGAAAAAGAAGCACAGAGCAATTCTTTGCTCTTTTCACCTGTGGAATTTCAAAAAGATTTCTTCCCAGAAGATTCAGGTAGCTGAAATGGACAAGTCTAGAGGGCCATCTAGGTAGCTTCATCATTAGTTCTTCCAACCACCTAGTAGCTCCTTCATAGGTGACCTAGGGTTTAGATTTGTCCCTGCCTCCTTCACCAGGACCTACCTACTCATCCTTCATATCTTGCTTCAAGCATCACTTTCTTAAAGAAGTGTCCTCACCCCAAGTCTAGGATGGCTGCTTTGCCTCACACTCTCTTCTCAGAAATCTGGGGTCCTTTTACTTCAGAGCCTCTATATTAATTAACAATGGCATCGGCATCATTATCTGATGAACGTCTGTCTTCTCCACTGGATCGCAGTGTTCCAGGTGAGTGGAGACTGTTCTCTGTTCTTGTCCCACTGTCTTCCAGCTCCTAGAACAATACCAGGGACACAGCTGGGACAAAGTCAATGTTTTCTCAGTGTTCCAGGCTTCAGATAGAACAAACCAAAACCAAACCCACTGCTTTCAAGTCAGGTCTGACTCATAGTGACCCCTTCTTGGGTTTCTGAGGTGATATCACTGCAGAAGTAGATTGCCCAATATTCCTTCCAGGGAGTAGCTGGTGGGTTTGAACCACCAGCCTTCTGGTTAGCAGTCAGATGCTTTAGGCACTATGCCACCAGAGCTCCCTCGGATAGAAACAGCCTATTATTTTATTATGGATGGATGTTTTAAATTCAGATCATTGATTTATTTGGGATTAAAAATAGTATGTATTTATTGATCAAGCATGAGAATATATCAGTAAGAAAAGGACTCCACAATCCAGAAATATTCACCGTGAGCAGTGTTGAGTCTCTTTCTTTCTTTCTTTCTTTTTTTTCTGTGACATTGATTACAATCCCCCATAATTTACCAGCTCTCTTCCCACTTCCTCCCTGTGGTTACCCTTTCCCTGTGTCCTTCTTGCCTGTGCATTCCTGCCTCCCTACTTTTCTTCCTATGCAGATGCTGCCTCTCTGATCTCCCATGGTTGATTGTTTTAAGGAGTGCATCTCCCTGGTGTAATTGTTCACCTCTTAGACCTGTCTATTGTTTGGCTGAGAGTTGACCCATGAGAGTCAGTTCAATTCCAGGCCCAAAAGGTGACTCAGAGATTTCACCAGTCTCTATCAGACCAGTAAGCCTGGTCTTTTTTATGATTTTGAGTTTTGTTTCACATGTTTCTCCCACTCCATCCAGGATCTCCAGTTATGATCCCTTTCTAAGCGGTTGGCCTTGGTAGCCAGGCACCATCTAGTCCTTCTGATCTCAGGGTCATATAGGCTGAGGTCCCATGGTTCGTTAGTTTTTAGTCACAGTGCTGAATCTCTTCTTGATGTTCTTTTCTACATAGAGAGAGACTAGGCATTCTCATAGTGTGGTCTTACTTTTCAATAGTATGTATGTTATATTGTCCACTAGTTATTCAATATATTTTTAGGAAAAGTACCTCTAAACTTAAAGCAGTGAGCCTAATTATTAATCTGAAAAGTATAATAAATACACTTCATAGTACCCAAGAAGTCTGAAAACACAGGGAAAACAGTGTTTATTATACATTTTTCAGATGAAGAATTTCACTGATCATTTTAAATTTAGAGATACTTTGCCTGAAAAAGTGTCAGAGGTTAGAGAAAAATATGTTAAGCATATTACTTGAAAATAAGTTATTGTTCTCAGGCTTTGCAGATATCCCATATGCTATTTTGCATAAATAAGTAGATTTATTTTTCACTGAGCACAATGCTGTTGCCAGTTTTCCATGTTCTTAAAAGCCTGTCTCCAGCACTAGTTAAAGGCAACACAGTGTCACTTTTTCAGATGAGCTATTTACTCATTTAATACCCTGATGTTGAAATTTAGGTTGCTCCTGGTTCACATTTCTTTTAACAGTACTACAGTGACATCCTTGGAGCCAAATCTTGCACAAATCTTCCAATATGTCCTTAGGATGAAACCCTAGAGATGAGATTACCCAGTCAAAATGAATGTGTATTTTAATCCTTGTAAGTACATACTGTAAACTACCCTCTTAAAAGGTTATACCAATTCACCCTCCTGCAAGTGGTGAATTATAAGTGCCCATTTTCCTATGTATTTGCCAATCGTGGATATTACTTTTTTTATTTTCAAATACACCAATTTATTGTTTGTTTAATCTGCCAGATAGTCTTACTTCTACCTTCCCTCCCCTCTGCTCAACTCCACCTCCTTCCTGCTGAACCTGCCTCTACATTATGTGTGTGGAACAAACCCAATTCAGTGTTTGGCATCTGAACGAAGGCTTCCCACTAAGTAGTATGGGTTGGCATGCATGCGCGTGTGCATGTGTGTGTGTGTGCCTTCTACCTTTATGTGTATGCTTGAAATTAGAGGAGATGTTATCCTCCATGGCTGGATGTGTGAGACTAAACAGGGACACAGAGTGGGGGCACGGTGACCGTGCCCTCCTTTTGGGCCCCTACTCAGCTCTGCCATTCAGAGGTCGTCCATCTCCATTGCATGTAGTCCAGACTCCCTCCCCGGCCATCTACTTAGCTTTGTTTTTGTTGTGATGTTTACAGAGTGTAGTTGCTGCAGATGGCTGTCATGGTGTGGCCAGGACTCTGAGGTCACCTAGCTGTGGTCCAAAGAGACAATACCACAAAGGCAGATGTTGCTCTTGGCCATGGCCTAGGAGAGAGAGCAGGATTGCACAGTCACAGGGCACAGTGTGTGCCTTAACCCAGACAAAGTCTTGCCAAAGTAGAGAGGCAGAAGAAGAGTGCCCAGAAAAGCTTTGGGGAAGTTGTTGAATGAGGCACATGGTTTAAAACAGCTCTGCTGGTCACCCAAGAGCAATATTTCATTTTAATTCACATTTATCAAATGTGAATGGCACCAGGCACCAAATGGCTAGGCACCAGGATGCGAAAATGAGCATGACCCTTTCCTGCCCTTGGTCATCTCACCATCTAGCACACAAACCTGTCAACATAATTGAGGAGGATGAGTGTGATGTGGTAATTGATCTGGAAACTGAGAAGGTGGTGGCACCATTAATCCACCCACAAAAGGCCATACAGTACAATGTGGAGATCATGGTTCTGGAGGCTGGCACATGTGCATTTGGAATCCTGGCTCTTGCACCTGCCAGCTGTGGGTGACCTTGGAAGAATCACTCACCCTTTCTGTCTTCAGTTTCATCTTCTATAAAATGGAGACCATACTACCTAACTTAATATGTAGAGGTAACATGAGCAGAATGCCAAGCACTGCACTTAGCATATAGAAACCCTCAAGAAAAGAGGACATTTCACAAATGAGGTATCATTTGAGTCTGACTTTGGAATTTGGTTTGAGTTTTCCAAGCAGGGAAGGGCTGATGGACATTTCTCTCAGATGGAGCAGGAGGTAAGAAGACAGCAGGGTGTATGAGGCAGCTTGTGAGATATACCAGGGGAAGGCAGTCATGACCGAAAATGACACCACCTACCCTGGCTATGATAGAGCCCCACTGACCAGGACAAGGGGAATCTTGGAGGGGGTTGTAAGCAAAGCCATTGCGTGACCAGATCTGTGTTTCATGACAGAGATCTGGTGACAGTATAGGATGAGGACAGTCATACCTATCCCTATAGTGATAGGGATGGAGAGGAGGGGACCAAGTTAGAGCAAGCAGGATTTGGTGACCAGTTGAACTCAAGGGGTCAGAGAGAAAAAGGAGATGCAGTCTCTCCCTGTTTTTAGCTTAAACAGTAGATGGTTGCCCTTCACTGGATGGGGAAGACAGGACTCAAAGTCATTTTGGAAGAGGAAGAGTTTGGTGTTGTCCCTTCCAAGTGTGAGCCTGGGCTGGGCTCTCTCTCTGTCACCCCAGCGTAGCAGGAGGAAGGTCATTAGAGGACACTGTCCCCTCACTGGCCTGGGCAGCTTTCTCCTCAGGGTTGAACACACCTATCTCAAGCATCATGGAAGTCATTTTTTCCAGCTTTGAAAAACCAGTTTTAAAAAATTCATTCACAGCCGCTTAGCAAAAGAAAGAGAGAATATAAATTCTAAGGATGCAAGAGCACTCATTGATCCCAAAGGAGATGTGTTCCTCCAGACCTGGAAAAATTCCAGAAACCAAGGCAGCCATTCTCCCTCTTCCCACTCTCCTCCTCTACACAGCGCTCACACACCCACACCGTTCTTCTCTCCGAGCAGTCCAGCTCTCCACACACATCGCACAGGCCCCAGCCCCTCCAAATTCCCATCTCAGTAACTTCTAGTCACAACCATAGACTGATCAGCCACCTCTGATCCTCACTTCCACATCCCTGGGAAAGATAATCTGATTGGCCTCACTTGAGTTGAATGTCCTCTCCTGTCAGCTGGGGCTGAAGGGAGTTGGCAGAGAAAGAATCCAACTGGCCCAGGATTTGATTATACCAGTTAGCTATTACTGCATAACAAATTGCTCCAA